TTCCTTGCAATGCCCTGCCAGTATTATCTGGGTGGGTGTTTTCAGCATTGACACCAAAGTCACTCCTAAATGTCCCAAAACCACTGACACCAGGGTCAGGACCAGATCAACATCAATTAGATGTTCTTATTCTGAATATCATTTGGCTCTATCTGCAGATATTCATGTACGCCAGATTTACAAGTATGTGTGGGCCAATACACGCTCTATTAGTGATTGAGTGAAGATGTATACTTCCCATGACAACATGCCACTAATTATCAACCTTGCCAAGATATGCCAACACAGCAGACAGAGGCTACAGCCCTCTTGCACAAGGGTGCAACTAAAATATCTGCTGGGGATCTGATATCGATATATACAGTTGCCTTTTCTTGGTACCGAAAGCCACAGATGGCGTCTGACTGGTTTTGAATATATCACCACTCCAACGTAACAGACATAAGCAGCTACAGTCGATCAAGCAGTACTCAACTCACAGTACAGTGTCCTACCAGTATTTCTGATTACCTTTCGGCCTTCAGAATGTTAATTTGCACATCCTGAAGAATTCCAGTCAATCAGTCAGTCATTGTTGAGAGTTATGATCGAACTGACAGTCTACTAGTTTACAGTTCATTTGGTGGTATGGATGAACATACACATTGGACAAGATGGAGGGTCACTTAATGGTTCTACAGACTCAGGTTTTCTGGGGCTCAACCCAATTTTGTAATAACATCAACTAAAAGGAATTAAAAGTGACTGTAGCAGCTATTCTCCCATCAATCTGCAGCAAAATGTTTTTGCTCAGATGACTTTGCAATTGAGAGTTTAACCTAGTGTTTCCAGCAGGAGATTTTATGGCAGCACAGACAGACTCTTGTCTGTCTCTATCTCGCCCCTCTCTGTCTCTCTCTATCTCTCTCACCAGATTTTACTGCTGAAACGGGTTTTGACACCAAGTCCTCACCTAGTCAATTTTCTGTTCTTCAAGACTACAGTCAACACTGTTTCAAGGGTTGCCCTAAGCAACAGCATATCTAAAAAGGGTGTGCTTAAGGTAGAAGCCTTCTCATGATTTTACCCAGAAATTACTCATTTTCCAAACAAATATGAAGATGTTGACTTGAAAAAACTTGGAGGTCTGATAATCTGATAGTTCATATGGTAGAGATAATATGTCACATATTAAATTGTAGGCTGGTGACATAGGCTGAACACAAGTATATATTGTGAATGATGAGGTATTTTTGGTTGTTCTCAACTATGTCAAAAATCTGAGGTCTAAAAAAAAAGAAGCAATTTTTCTTCAACATTGTGCTCTAAGGAATTGTATTTAAAATACAAATTTTCTCAAAATGCGTCACTGTAACACACAAATGTATGCTATTTCATGGTGCCTTGAGACAAAAGCTTCATAAGTTTACACAATAAAACAATTTACATTGTCATGTGATTTATGATCAACTTTATCAGAAATTGTGAGCAGGCCTTTACTTTAAAGCCTTTATAAGGTTACTAGTATCATGTTCTCAAATGTCCATATTCCGAGTGGTAATGATTCGTGAATCTGGAATAACAACCACCATCTCATACGCCAGTAAGCCCAATGTTAACCCTGGCATGAAGTTAATTGTTGATCTTATCTAGCAGTAGTGTTGGCGTTGTGTCCAGTCAAAGCGTTGATTAACTGTTACACAAACTGTCTATAATACACATACTCCAAGGACACTAAAAGGGAATGAATCTCAAATTGTTTTACCTCGTTTTTATTAGCCGATCCCAAATCTTCATCAATTTTAATGTTTTCAAAGAAAAGCGACTGCTCTGAGATATTTAAAAAACAAATATTTTTCATGCAAAAGTTGTCATCGCTTGTAATACTGCAATCCCATGACGCAATGTATTGTCGTTTTCTTTATTTTATTATTGCGCTGTTTCTGTGAATTTCGGAAATACACACCATCTGTTATGTTTTCATGTTTCCATTCGGCATTTCCTATTCGGACCAGGACGTAGCTAAAACGTCAAACAACAATTTATCAAAAACAGTAAATGATTATTTTTTTCCTTTCAGATTCTATCGGAAACATATACTGTAGCCAATAAATTGGTCAACAACAAGTTTTTGAGAATTGTGTTGTGTTGTGTTCTGCAGTTGTATAATTTACATGAATTAGTACATTACAAACAGGGTCTATGTTTTTGCTAAAAATATAATAACATGATGTTAAACTAAATGGCAGTAGTAGTTCTAAAGCGCGCCATCAACGTTGTTCTGGAAAACTTGTAAATGGCTACGCGTTTTCTAGAGCAATTGTGTCTAATGATTTACAAATAAACTTCCGGCAAATTATCTAAGTGAATTTATATTTTACTGAAAAGGAAAAGCACATCCAATGTTATTTTTTTCACCTTGGTTTTTATCCACATCTTTTTATCCCACAAGCAATTTCTCAGACTGAAAAGAAGTCATCATACTGGCATTGTGTTTATAATTGAGCGGCAGCTTGAATGAAAGTAACGAACAATGTCCGCCTTAATGGGGCTTTACAATGAACCCACAGCCCCAGGAGAAGCTGCGAACTCACGTCGCGTGCTAATGCCATGCTGGAATCTGAGACAACCCTGAAAAGTCGGTCAATTTTTTTTATGTCGTGCTTGTGTGCCATGTGTACCTATGTGTAATTTGGGGATAATATTTAGTATTCGTTGTCCTATGTGACTATTAAAAATACCAATACAAAATACATTTACTAAATATTATTTACTATATATCATATTTATTAACTACTTTTGTAATTTTGGCGTGCTATCTCCTTCAACTTCTAGATTCAAAGATAATTATTATTTATTACAGATTACTTTATATTAAATACGATATTATAGTGTATTTCCGATATGGTGAATAGACATCGCTATGTGGCGAATGGACATGACGATATTGTGCATGTACATCACGATATGGTGAATGGACATGACGATGTGGTGAATGAACATGACAATATAGTGAATGAACATCACGATATAGTGAATGGACAACACGATATGGTGAATGAACATGACGATATGGTGAATGGACATCACGATATGGTGAATGGACATGACGATATAGTGAATGAACATCACGATATAGTGAATGGACAACACGATATGGTGAATGAACATCACGATATGGTGAATGGACATCGCGATATAGTGAATGGACATGACGATATAGTGAATGAACATCATGATATAGTGAATGGACATCACGATATGGTGAATGGACATGACGATATGGTGAATGGACAACACGATATGGTGAATGAACATGACGATATAGTGAATGGACATCACGATATGGTGAATGAACATCACAATAAGGAGAATGGACATGACGATATGGTGAATGGACATGACGATAT